CTCTTAAGGTTCATAGTTACAGCCATAAATTGAATCTGTCAAATATTTGACCATTTATTCTTCTACTAGTTTTTTTTTTAAAAAAAGGGTTTTAACATGTCTGTTTTCCAGCATTTTGTATTGTACAGTATCATCTGAAATAATGCACAAACATATCAAGGTCGGCATTTGTGATTCTGAGATTCTCCTCTCCTGCCCCCCCCCGCAGAGACCCACAGTGATGACAGGCATGTGGTCGCATGGCCAAGCCCCCCAGCCACAACCCCCAAACACTTTGAGTCTGCCTGCTGCAATGGCTCTCCCCTGCCATTGACTCATGGAACCCCATGATCCCCTGCCCCCTCAGTGCTACTTGCACAGATGCCTTCCCCCCTTGGGTGCCAGAGGACCCCCTTCCTGGAGCAGACACACAGTTTGGCACCTCATCCATTCACTCCTTTTATGAGCTGGCACTTGTGGCTGGCATCATTCCCCTCTTCTTGGTTTCATGCTCACAACAGCCCCGTGAGGTTGGTCAAGCTGAGGGTGTGCATCTGGCCCAAGGCCACCCACCTAGCTTCCATGATGCAAGTGGGGAATGGAATCTTGGTCTCCCACGCCCAGACTCATGCTCTAACCACCATGATAAGCTGCCTTATTCAGCCAGACCACCCTCTGGCCCCTCCCTTATCACACAGAAGCCTGCTAGGTGAGCGAGGGAACCTGTTCTTGCACCTGGGTCCCTGCAATGTATGGAAGATGGCCAGGGGAGGATTAAGGCTCACTGGTGCCCTAAGCACTGACCAATCTTGGTGCCCCCCTCCTTTCCACACTGACCCAGTCCACTTTAGTTGTTGACCTGTCTGACCAGATATACAATACAAGTTGCAGCAATACAAAAATTTATTCATATGATAACACAATATACTGTACAAACTAAGCTTTTCACCCTTTTCCCAACTTTGCGGTGCCCCCTTTGGCCTTGGTGCCCTAAGCACTTGCTTAGTCTGCTTAATGGTTAATCTGCCCCTGCAGATGGCAATGACCAGTGGGGCCAGCACATTCCCAGGTGAAAGGGCTCAGGGAGCCGACTAACTCTGGCCACACCCCCAGAACTGCCCACAACCAAGACAGTGCAAGGGCCTATATCTCAGTTGCACCAACAGGTGGCCACTGTGGCCCATTGCTGGCACCCGTGTGTGACAGGGCACCGCTGGGGGCCTGCACCATTGTGTCATTTACATCGGCGTAAATGGGATTTACACTGATGTAGGGGCTACTCAGCTCCCAGAGTGCTTTCAGCCACACTGCCAGGATTGCTCTGTAAAATGCTGAATATAAATATACCCCAACAGAAGTACCATTGTATTTTATAGCAAGTGTCTTTAAAAAACTATAATGAAGGGGGTCTTGGGGGAAAAATGTTTTCTGTCTTATATGCTCTGTGATATATAATTATTTCTGATATACATAATTGTGTTTTATAATCCCCTTTCCCTTTCTGTATCCCCTTTATACCACTACTTTGTTTTCTAAAATAATAATATGTGAGAGAGAGAGAGAGAGAGAGAGAGAGAGAGAGAGAGAGAGAGAGAGAATAATGGAATGGGTAAAGAATGGGAAGTGGGGTGAGGTTTGTCTTGAATATAGTGTTCAGATTTCAGCTCAGCTATTACAGGCCTGGAAAGCTCTTGATTTCTCAGCCCACTTTCTTCTTCTTGAAAGGCTATGATAGGTTAAAGTCTTGCATATAACCATGGGATGCTTAGATGACTGACAACAAAGTCCATCTGGTTCATTGTATGTTGATGGTGTCCCCAGCGAAAGAGTCTGCTGCATCTGCCATTCCCTTCTGTGACCCCCTACTTAGTTTCAATTGTTGTTTCTGGACATACATATTTTAATTTTGGTTCTTATTGATTGTATGATCTGTTTTTATAATGTTCATTGTTAGTCAGCTCAGTGGCTCTGGTTAGGCAGAAAGATGCAATGTAAATGTTGTAGATAAATAGAAAGTAATAAACAAAACACCAAATTCATAACTCAATTGAGTAATATCCAAGCAGATTCTTCTTTTCTGTCATGAATGGTGGATTAATATGGCTGGTGTAGTCCTTAGAAAATGATACAACATATCAATTCATAACTCATTTGAGTGATATCCAAGCAGATTCTTCTTTTCTGTCATGAATGGTGGATTAATATGGCTGGTGTAGTCCTTAGAAATTGATACCACATATACTCAAACTCTGCCTTGCCAAGACAAACAAAGTATCTCTCATAAGGTCAGCCAACATTTTTGGCTCAGTCTCATTGGATTCTTCTCCTCAATACAGCCCTCCCCATCCCACATGGCAGTTGTCCATGTAGGTCCTATGATCCCAAAGACAGTTTTATTGGTGGTCAAAAAGGACAACCTTGTCCCCTTTTCACTAGTAGAAAAGCTGGCAGGATCAAACCCATTCTTTAGAGATCCTCATAATAATATTTTGCATACATTCACACTCAGCTTCAACCCTCAAGGGGAAAAGGGCTATTACATTCAGTTAGCCTTATCTTCAAATAGAAACAGATGCAAATTAGCAAGTTGGTTGCATACAGGGCCCTGCACGAATGTGCTCAAGAAAAGCAAATAAAATTGATTCAGGACAGTAAGGGCCTTCTTGTTCATTGGAGTGGGTAAAATTACAGATGCTGTTTAGGGAGCTGTGTGTAATCATCCTCCCACCTCATGAGATAAGGTCACTGAATTCCCTACATCTCAGCCAACCTTCTATTGTAAAGTATACAATGCAGGTTGCAGCAATACAAAAATTTATTCATATGATAACACAATATACTGTACAAACTAAGCTTTTCACCCTTTTCCCAACTTTGTGGTGCCCCCTTTGGCCTTGGTGCCCTAAGGACCTGCTTAGTCTGCTTAATGGTTAATCTGCCCCTGCAGATGGCAATGACCAGTGGGGCCAGCACATTCCCAGGTGAAAGGGCTCAGGGAGCCGACTAACTCTGGCCCCACCCACAGAACTGCCCACAACCAAGACAGTGCAAGGGCCTATATCTCAGTTGCACCAACAGGTGGCCACTGTGGCCCATTGCTGGCACCCGTGTGTGACAGGGCACCGCTGGGGGCCTGCACCATTGTGTCATTTACATCGGCGTAAATGGGATTTACACTGATGTAGGGGCTACTCAGCTCCCAGAGTGCTTTCAGCCACACTGCCAGGATTGCTCTGTAAAATGCTGAATATAAATATACCCCAACAGAAGTACCATTGTATTTTATAGCAAGTGTCTTTAAAAAACTATAATGAAGGGGGTCTTGGGGGAAAAATGTTTTCTGTCTTATATGCTCTGTGATATATAATTATTTCTGATATACATAATTGTGTTTTATAATCCCCTTTCCCTTTCTGTATCTGACTGTATGTTTGCTGATGACATAAAAAGGACAAAGCCTAAGGAAAGCATGTCTTTTGATTTTAAAAGCTAAAGAAATAAAATATATGAGAGAGAGAGAGAGAGAGAGAGAGAGAGAGAGAGAGAGAGAGAGAGAGAGAGAGAGAGAATGGGAAGTGGGGTGAGGTTTGTCTTGAATATAGTGTTCAGATTTCAGCTCAGCTATTACAGGCCTGGACAGCTCTTGATTTCTCAGCCCACTTTCTTCTTCTTGAAAGGCTATGATAGGATAAAGTCTTGTATATAACCATGGGATGCTTAGATGATTGACAACGAAGTCCATCTGGTTCATTGTATGTTGATGATGTCCCCAGCGAAAGAGTCTGCTGCATCTGCCATTCCCTTCTGTGACCCCCTACTTAGTTTCAATTGTTGTTTCTGGACATACATATTTTAATTTTGGTTCTTATTGATTGTATGATCTGTTTTTATAATGTTCATTGTTAGTCAGCTCAGTGGCTCTGGTTAGGCAGAAAGATGCAATGTAAATGTTGTAGATAAATAGAAAGTAATAAACAAACACCAAATTCATAACTCAATTGAGTAATATCCAAGCAGATTCTTCTTTTCTCTCATGAATGATGGATTAATATGGCTGGTGTAGTCCTTAGAAATTGATACCACATATACTCAAACTCTGCCTTGTCTAGACAAACAAAGAATCTCTCATAAGGTCAGCCAACATCTTTGGCTCAGTCTCATTCAATTCTTCTCCTCAATTCAGCCCTCCCCATCCCACATGGCTGTAGTCCATGTAGGTCCTATGATCCCAAAGACAGTTTTATTGGTGGTCAAAAAGGACAACCTTGTCCCTTTTTCACGCTTATTCAAATGATGTTTAGGCTAACAACATAAAAGGGGAATGCAGAAGAAAGGGAGGGGGGAAATTGTTGGACACAACGAAGAAGCTTCAGTGTGCAGTTTAGATCATACAGATCCTCAAGACAGAGTGGAAGAGTTGTTAGTGATGGAAGAAAATGTCTCAGACTTCACCAAAGGCCACTGGGACCAAGAGTCCATAACTGTAGTCCCATTTAGAAATAAAAAGCGACCGAATGTTCAGATCTGCTCCCAGCACTTCTCAGGGAAAAAAGCAAACATTCCTCATAAGGCAGAAAGCAGACGATCCTGAATTCTGTTTCAAGATCCCTATTTTTCATTTTCCCACCTACAATTTCCAGAGTCCTTTGGAAAGAATGAATGACTGTTAAATCTGGTATAGATAGGTTCATCCATTAATCCACCTGTTAGTTTAATACTACAAGTATTAGGAAGGGAGGTTTCCGAAAAGAACAAAGATTGTCTGTCACAAACAATAGATCTCCTTCCCACCTCAAGTACCACTGAGAACATAGCTTCCTGTGGTCCATACAGCAATTGTATATCAAATATTATACCTCAAAATATGCCATGATCTAGGTGGTTCACACAATCATCACTTTTGGCATTGGTTGTATAGGGTACCCGCAAAGACTAATTGGGTGGGGGGTTGGATTTGGATTAAACGGGTTATACACTGAACATGTGTTTCTTCACATTCAGAAATGCCATGTGCATCATTGTCAGCTGAATTTTTGCATCACTTTGGCCAAAGCCCGTTTAACATCCTTATTTCTCAAGCTGTAGATGATGGGATTCAACATGGGAGAGACCAAAGCATAGAAGACTGAGGCTCTCTTCTCCTGGTCTGCAGCACGGTTGGACCGAGGCTGCAAGTAAGTAAAGCTGATGGTGCTGTAGAACAATGTGACAACAGTAAGATGTGTAGCACAGGTAGAAAATGCTCGGTGGCGTCCCTCAGCTGAGCGCATGCTGAGCACCACCCTGGCAATGTGGACATAAGAGATAACTATGAAGATAAAAGGCAGCATGAGAACAATCACACTCAATGCAAAGAGGACAATCTCTACGACATAGGTGTCCATGCAGGCCAATGGTAACACTGCTGGCTCCTCACAAAAGAAATGGTTGATCTTGTTGGGCCCACAGAAAGGGAAGCTTGTGGTGATGATGGTCAGTACTGCAGCATTGAGGAAGCCCCCAACCCAGCAGGCCCCTGCCATCTGCATACATACCTGCATTCTCATGAGGGTGGGGTAACGCAGAGGTTGGCAGATGGCCACATAGCGATCATATGCCATGAGCCCAGTCCCCTGCTGGTGTTTCACAAGCCAGTGGGGAAGGAGGTGAACTGAATAAAAATGGAGGGTGCACTAATGCACTACATCACTTCCAGCTGTTGGGCCCACAGAAAGGGAAGCTTGTGGTGATGATGGTCAGTACTGCAGCATTGAGGAAGCCCCCAACCCAGCAGGCCCCTGCCATCTGCATACATACCTGCATTCTCATGAGGGTGGGGTAACGCAGAGGTTGGCAGATGGCCACATAGCGATCATATGCCATGAGAGCCAGGATGAAGCATTCAGTCATCCCACAGGACAGGGTCAGGTTGAGTTGGGCCATGCATTTGTTGAAAGAGATTGACTTTGTCCCAGAGGCCAAGTGGATAAGCATTTGTGGAATGACGATCAGGGTGAAGACTATGTCCATCAAAGAGAGGTTTCCAATGAAAAAGTACATGCCTGTGTGGAGGCAGGACTCAACCCAAACCAAGAAGATGATCAGGCTGTTTCCAAGGAGAGTGATAAGAGACATGGCTAGGACCATTGCCAGGAGAAAATGTTGTAGCGTGGGATGACTGGTGAAGCCCAGAAGAATAAACTCATTCACGGATGTCCCATTCAGACTCCACATCTTACCAAACTCTATCTGCAATGAAGAGTAACCATAACAACAGGAAGTACTATGTCTGATGCCACACGCATAATCCCTTTGACATCCCACACTTTTGTTTCACCGCTGGCACTCATTGAGCTATTTCAATCAGCTCTCTGTCTAGTGTCTTTGTGTCTTTCAGTTTCTTGTGGTGATTGCTAGTGTCCCAGTCCTATCTGCCATGTTTCCTTCTGCGATTGTAAATGTATGTAAATGTATGTATATCGTAGAACCAATGAAGCTCTACACTCCATAGAGAGTGCACACTATTTTGATCCTAATGCAGTAAAAGGGAGACAGGGGAAAGTATCTCAAATCTATTGACACTTCTGAATTTCTGTCTGTGATAATGATTCCACCCTTTTACATTGTGCTCAGGATTGCTGCACACATGACATTCCAACTCTTCCCACAGCCAAGGTGTTTAAGACGTTTATGGGTAAAGTTGCTGCATTCAGAACTACAGCCTCAGTATAGCAAAGAACCACATGTCATTGGACGATTCTGCATCTAGCACATTTTCTCAAATGGGAGGGAAAAGTGCAGCTCAAAACCACGTTCAAATACCTCGGGACGGTGCCGTACTGACTGCAAAGTCACCCCTGAATGACCATAAAATGACCATAAATTTATGCAGACGGCACAATAAAATCTGGCAATCAAAGTGGCATGGAGTGTGGAAGCTACCATAAAACCCGATAATCAAAGGAAGTGAAACCAGCATGCAATGCAGAGGGGAATTTCTGTTCCAACGTGGGTTTCGTAAAACAATGGCGGGAAAAGCCAATATAGAATTGGCCATTGTTGTGATGCACAAGCCCTTACCTGAGAATAGTCAGAAAAGGCCTAAATGTATTTAACATGACCTTTTGAATTTCCAGATCCCAAATGACATATTTTAACTGCATGCAGCTGCTATGACACAGGACCATCAACAGCTTAAAATACATTGAAATGTTACTGGTGGGGTTTTTTAAAATGTGTTCTTTAAAACACAGCTTCATCTTGACCCTTTTACTAGCTCTTCTTGTTCTGTGCTTTTTTTGTTATACTTACGGAATTCTCATAGTAGTTCAAAGGATTGTACTGTCAAACAATCTTCATGGACATAGGGATACGCAGAAGAGGTCCCACATGGATGAAAGAAGCCCCAAAATGGTATGGAGGCACTTCCTGATATACTTCCATCACTGAGCTAGGAAGACTATGGGTCCTGCATAGACAAAAGTCATGTGGAATGGAAGCTATAGTAAGGAGGAGAACTGGGTAAAAGAGTGTGTGTGTGTGGGGGGGAATCAAGTTGCAGAAAGATCATGGTTAAGAACCAGAAATCAATCAATATTTTAAAAGCATTCAGTTTATAAAGAGCTTTTCAAGACAACAATAAAAAAACAGTTCAGTCAGTCAGTAATACCTTTATTGACATAGATTAGAACATATCAGGGGGGGAAAAGGAGACTGCAATTAAAACATTACAGAGGGGGTAATTCTTCTTCACATTGCTTTGCCTTAAATTTTCAGATTCTCATCACAGTTAGCAGATACCTTGCTCCTGGGCCAGTAATATGAGGGCTTCAGTCTAATAGAAGATACGAGAGAAGTCTCTCTCAGGGTACCCTTTCATCTTACACAAAAGTGGATTGATTAGAGTGGTGTAATTCAGCCTAATCACAGTAGATTAGTACATGGGCAACAGATTTGGGGCTTCCAACATTACATATATAGAGTCTATGAGAATAGGGAACATTTTGAAATCTTCGAAAAAGGACTGCTGTAAGGAGGGCATCGAACGTAGCAAGCATAAAAGCTTTTCATATTTGAGAAGTTAAATGTGAGAAACAGAAGGCTAAAACTTCCTGCTCACGCACAATATGAAATGCCATTGGAGAACATATTGTATTTGCCAAAGTATACAGATTGAAAAAGCAGTTAATTCTGTGCTGAATGGGAGTGGTAGTAGCTAAGATGATGGATTGCCTGAAAGATGATGAAGTGTCTAAAACCATTTTCATAGCTAATGATTTGAAGCATGAGTTTTTTATTTTAAGGTTAGATTCCTAATTATTGTACTACACTAACATGGAAAACCAAGCCAATCCTAAATCTTTTTTCGTCTAATAACTAAATGCCACTTTGAGCCACACACTATCATAATCTTATCACTCACTGCACCACAACAGAGATTGCCTCAGAATGTCAATGTAAATGTGCTATCATGGTTTGAGATTACTTAGTGTCTCCACAGGACACAAGTGATGATGTTTTTGTTATTTTCTTAGTACATTTTTACCCTGCCCATATCCAAGAGGTTCAGGGTAGTATAAATGGTTGCTCCTTACTCAAAACTTGTGGGTTGGATAAGGCTGGGAGACAGTGACAACCAAGAAAGGTTGAATAAGGATAAAAACCTCTGCTAAATTGGCATTAGGAGAAGGAGTCAGTGGTAGAATATCTGATCTCCACACAGAAGGTCCCAGGTTCAATCTTCTCATCTCCAGTTTAAAGGACCTGGTAGGAGGTTATTTGAAAAATCTCGACCAGGGATCCTGAAGGGCCACTTTCAGTTAGACTTAGACAAATAGTCTGACTGTTCATGTGTTAATGTGTATTCTAATCACTGCACCAAACTGGCTCGCTACCTTGATATAAATTAACACACTTTCTACACCTGTGGAATGTTCAAGAACACTCAGTCAAACAACAGAAAGTCCTTGGTGAAGTACGGGGAGCAGACCGGAAATTTCTTATTAATCTTGTGAAAGGTAACGGAAAATTTCTCTTATCAATAATCTTAGTAATCACGGAATTATTTAATCAATGAAGTTACAGACTTTATATTTTCTACATTACCTGCAGATGTATAAGCAATGGTGCAATTTGTTAACATGTCTCATACATACTTCTTAAAAAGATTGATTTCTCAGCTTCTTGGAAACTCATATGGCAGAGATAACATATACTTTTACCACACAAAACTGCCATTCGTGGTTTACCTTCTGGATTCATAAAATTCATCTGCTATATGTTTCTTATGGTAACAATCCTGTATTCTCTGCAGAATTACCAGTACCTCTGCTCTTGAGAAGCTTGGAATATATTTGCATTTTTTTAAAAAAATTTTTTTACAAAATAAGAACTTAACAAGATCCCTGCCGGATCATACCAATAGTCATCTAGTCCAGCATCCTGTCTCACACAGTGGCCAAACAGTTCCTCTAGATGGTCAACAACAGGGCATAGAGGCCCAGGCCTTCCCCTGATGTTGCCTCCTGACCCTGGGATTCAGAGGTTTAGTGCCTCTGAATGTGGAGGTTCCCCTCAGCCACCATGGCTAGTATCCACTGATAGACTTATCCTTAATTAATCTATCTAATCCCCTTTTAAAGCTTTTTTTTCCCCCTGTGGTCATCACTACGTCTTCTGGCAGCAAATTCCACATTTTAATCACTCTCTGTATAAAGAAGTATTTCCTTTTGTCCGTCCTGAACCTACCATCCATCAGCTTCATTGGATGCCCTTGAGTTCTAGTATTTTGGGAGAGGGAGAAAAAGTTCTTTTTTTCAGCTCTCTCCACACCACACATAATTTTATAAACCTCTACCATGTCCCCCCTCAATCATATCTTTTCTAAACGGAAAAGTCCCAGACTCTTCAGCCTTTCCTCATAGGGAAGGTACTCCAACCCTCTAACCATATTGGTTGCCCTCCTCTGTACTTTTTCCAGCTCTTCAGTGTCCTTTTTGAGATACGGTGACCAGAATGGTACATGGTATGCCAAATGAGGCCCACCATAGATCTATACAGGGGCATTACCGTATTGGCCCTTTTATTCTCAGTCTCTTTCCTAATAATGTCAAATATAGAGTTTGCCTTTTTCACCACTGCAGCACACTGAGTTGACACCTGCACTGAGCTATCCACTATGACCCCAAGATCTTTTCCCCTCTCAGTCTCAGAATGTTCAGACCCTATTAACCTATACTTGAAGTTGATTTCTTTTGTCCCAATATGCATCACCTTACACTTACCAACACCGAACTTCATTTGCCACATTGTCACTCACTCACCCAGTTTGTGGAGGTCCTCTTGGAACTCTTCACAGTCAGCCTTGATTTTTATCATCCTGAAGAATTTGGTGTCATCTGCAAACTTGGCCACTACAGTCCTAGTCCCAGATCTTTTATAAGGAAATAAAATAGTTCCAGCCCCAATACCGATCCTTGTGGGACCCCACGGTTTACTTTTCTCCGGTCTGAGAACTGTCCATTGATTCCTACTCTTTGTTTTTTGTCATTTAACCAGTTTTTAAATCCATAAGAGAACCTGTCCTCTTATTCCATGACTGATAAATTTATTCTGGAGTCTTTGGTGAAGTACCTTGTCAAAAGCCTTTTGAAAGTCCAGGTATATAATTTCTATTAGGTCACTATTGTCTACAAGCTTGTTCACATTCTCAAATAATTCCAAAAGTTTGGTGAGGCAGGACTTCCCTTTGTGGAAGCCATGCTGATTTTCCTTCAACAGGATTTGCCCCTCTATGTGCCTAACAAGTCTATCTTTGATTACAGTTTATATTAATTTGCATGGGGCAGATGTTATGCTGACTGCCCTATAAATTCCTGGCTCCCCTCTGGATTCCTTTTTTTAAAATAGGTGTCACATTTGCTACTCTCCAGCCTTCTGGTAAAATGACTGAATTTAGTGATATATATGAGTTAGTAGATCAACTATCTCCCATCAGAGTTCCTTAAGAACTCCTGGGTATATGCCATCATTAGTAGTCTAGAACTTCATTTTTGGTTACCTCAATTTGGCTCAGTTCTTCAGACTTCTTTCCTGAAAGTAGGGGCTGTAGCATGGGTACGTGCCCCACACTTTCCACAGTGAACACAGAAGAAAAAAGGTTATTGAGCTTCTCTGCCATTTCCCCATCTTCATTTAGCAATTCCTTCATCCAAAGGCCCCATTGCTTCTCTGGT